TGGGTCACAGGGGGCCCAGAGAAGGGACCTTGTGCACGTCGCCCTCGCACTGCTTCCTCAGCAATAATCCCATAAGATTGGGATTCCAGTCGGCAGAGTAGGAACATGGATCCCACCATCTGCGGACATCACACCTCAAACAACAACTACCAGCTTTTCTTCACGTGATTGTGTATATGGATCCTATAGTGTATATGGATCCCATACTTGCAGGACAATGAACATTAGCCACCTATTTGGAAAGGGGTGAATGGCTGTTACTTGAATCAGAATTATAATACAGCCCTACCAAAATTAACGTTTGACCTGGAAGTAATAAATACCTCAACCTCTACACTTGCTGCCTTCTGTTTCTCTAACGAGACTGTTGTTTGAGTAGACCGCTGAGGTTACTTACCAGCTGCATCTCTCCTGGCCAATTTGAAAACAAAAACACCCATGAAACAAACAAACAAACCCCAAATGTTTCATTGTCTACACAAACATGAGTAAGTAGACAGCAGCTAATGTGTGAAGCTTCACTTGGACAGTTTTTCTGTTGGCTCTAAATATTGTGCAGCAAGTGCATTCTAGACAGCTGGAGCCGTCCACCACAAATACAGTTGGTCTGCTGAATTCTTCCGTCGGAGAAAGTTGAAGGACAGCTAGAGTGGTTTTGCTTCTTCTGAATGATCTCTAGTAGGATATCTACTGTTTCTGACAACCTTTACAAGTCCTGGAAATTTTCACACACGCACGTAGGGATTTGGGGGGTTGCTATGGATCGTCTTTGGGAAAAAAAAAAAAGAGGAAATAACAAAAGCTGCGGCTGTTCTCAGAAGCAACCCCTTCCACTGAATTCCCCTCTCCTCTCTCTCAACAGAGCACAATTCTTGGATAAGGAAAGTCAAAGAATTAAACCATTTTGTAGCATAAATGGTTTTGCTCTAGATGGTACTGATTCCTGAAATTACTTATTCCACAACGCTGCCACAAGCCGGTAGGAGTAACACAGGGGATGCCACACCAGTGATACCAGAGAGAAACACCCGTGTCCCCTGCTCCCCAGCAGCCTTCTGGTGTCTTCCAAGAATTGTCAGATTCTTTGCCAGTATTTTCGCTTGTCCAGGATAAAAAGCCCTGCTCTTCAGCGAGGAACAGGATGTGAAACACCTGCAACAGTTTTTAAGCTGCATCCTTGAGGTCAGGCTATTTGGAAATTGTCACCGACTAGGAGAAGCCATTACGTGAACAGTATGGAGTACTACAGGGTTCAGGGTGACAGCAGTATCAGGTAAGTAATGTCATTAACTTCTCCAAGCAATCATTTTCCATCGAAGTTAACCACAATCAGGATCCCAAAAAATTCTTGCAGAAGATGTATTGCCTCAGTAACTAAATCTAGGAAGATAACACATTCACCCATACTCAACAAAAACTATAATATAGCCAAAATATACCAACTACTACAACGTTTTTCCTTCAGCTGTCAGGTGGTGTTTTTGCTGTTTTCTCCTCCTCCCCTAAAGAACAGCATTACTCTTGGTTACTTTGCTAAATAGGAGCATCTTACCAAACATTCACTCTCTTGACTGGCAATTGCAGTCTCTAAATATTTGTAAGGAGTATAGCCATCTTAGACAAGTCAGGAAATGTCAAAAGAAAAAAAAATAATGACTAAAGAGCTAGAGGGATTGATTTACAATAGTTACAATGGAAGAGCAGAAGAATAAATGACTACAGTTTAGCTATTTCCTAACTAAAATCTGAAATGCAACAAAGAGGGGAAAAAAATACAGCAACACATAAATATTAAGTCATCAGAAAAACTTCTGTTGACAGATACACACAAAACAAGGAAAACAAGTTGACAAAATCATATACAATAGGAATTCAACAAACAATCCCCCATGGTCCCCCTAAGCTATCAATGTTTTAAATTAAAATTCTGTTGCAATTTATGCAGCCATTAGTGCTTTTGAAGCAGATACACATATACATGGAGGGGAACTTGGTATTATGTATCACTCAGGTTAGAAGCTAGGTGGAATTAAAAAACCAAAAAGTATTCAACATTTATAACAGATAATGAAAACAATCATCATACCTATCCTACTCACTAAACCAAATTCAACATCCTGCCAAACATAAGACTCTTAAGAAGTAACTTAGACTTCGAAAAAGCTTTTCAAATAACAGCCTTGCTTGGAATGCCTTATAATTCATTCTACAAACAGCTGTAGCACATTTTTTACATTAAACAAGGATATTAAACTTGATAGGATACCAGTCTGACTTCAGTTGGATTCCCTTTGTTCCAAGCGTTTTGTTTTAATGAATCACTAACCACATTCAAAAAAGCAGGAGCTGAACACGAGGTTCTAGACAGACTTCCTATCCTGGGTGCAGGGTATTAGTGGGAGAGGATTATTACCATCACCCTTAGCTACAACAGCCTGAATAACAAGTCCTGGTTTATTTTTACTAAAATAAGCAGACACACACCCTTGAAGAACATGCAAGAGTTTAAACACACACTGAACCTAAGTGAGCATAAAAATAATATTTTTGAGGGGATGTTTCTGTAAGCCTCCAAACACTGAAGTTAGTTAAAGTGATCCCCAAAGCTTTCTCAGAACCTTCAGAAGTGCAGTTATTTGTCAGCACCAATCCCGTGAAATCCCTCACGGACACACGTGTGCTTACACAAGATACCCAGGAATGCACATACCTACACCAAGAACTAGAAAGTGCCATGAGCTCTCAGAGCTTAGTATTGTTCTCTACTCACACAAAAGGCTAGCCCAAGGTTTAATAATTGTTTGCAGAAGCATTGCTTAGTCTTCATAATAGGTCCTATTATATTACTCATGTTCATCCCATTGTATCAGATACAAATCGTGCTTCTAAAAAAAGACAGCATCTTTGTGTGTGTGCGTGTTTGCGTCTGAAGAAAGAGAGTGGCTACACTCACACGAAAAGGAAAGCTGCAGCAGACAAAACAGCAACAGCAGAAAAAAATAACATTCTCCCTATCCACTAAATTTAGCACTGCTTGAGTACTGTGAGTGAGGTTTATGCTTGTTTTCAGAGCAGAAAACCTAGCCTCATCTCTCACCAGCGCGTGTAACATCACAACGCAGAGTAAGGCACTCTTCATAAACTGAGAGGTGGCCATAAAACTGATGGGTTTGAGATTACACCATCAAGATACAGTGACAGGAGGAAACCCCAGGAACTGACGCACTGCTTTTCCTCCCACTCCCACACTAACAGTATTAAAACTCCATTAGCCATCAACTAGCAGCATTTTATGATTAGGCCAGATTTAAAATAATTTTAAAAGAGTAACAATAAAAAGGTATCTCTCAGCTGAGATAGCATCCAAGACAAATGGAATCCAAGTAAGCGCACCTATTTTCATTGCAAAAAGCAAGTCACAGAATCACAGTACAAAGACTGTTCTGTACGTTATTGCTGTCTAAAGAGGCCCGAATGCCACTTTCAGGGACGCACTTTAGAACAGGCAAATACATTTTCATTTGTTATTCCCATTCTAATACAAACCCAAGAATATTTGTATATAATTTTAAACCTCTTAAAACCACGTGGGTCAATTGACCAATATTGCTACTGTATAGTCACATAATCCTAAAGGTTTGACTATGCAACAAAATGAAGGTGCAGCTATGGCAAACCCTCCCAGCTGTGTGGCTTCTTTCCAGTTATTGTTACCGTACCACTGCTACCATTATTGTTACCAGAATAACCTACTCCTGCTGTTGTCACCCTATTACCAGTAATGCCATCTAGGTACATGCCACTGTCACACCTTCATTTCAATAACCGCCTGCATAATACCTCCAGTTCATTTTGAAACTTTCAGCAAACAAACAATAAAGAATTATTTTATTTATTTATTTTAAATACTTTGCCCTTCCAGGTAGAGAATGTATACTCACCACAGGTTCCCAATTCAAAACTACCTGAAGAACAAGAGCCAGAGACTAAACGCCTTGTAAGAGTTATTAAAATATTCACAGACAGTACAAGGAGCTAAAGTTTCAAGTCACCAGTGTCACACAACCGCTCACCCTCTCCTTGCTGCAGCTGCTCCGAGCATCCCTGCTGGGCGGTGGGTCCCTGCCAAACTGCAGGAACTCCAGAGGCAGGAGGGCTGATTCCCCCGGTCCCACTTTAAGCAAAGAGAGAACTGAAATACCAGGCTGCCCTCCCCAGCAGGCCACCCAGATGGAGAGAGGGAGCCGGGGGCTGCCCTGTCTCCAGCCCCAACGAGGAGAGGCGGGGTGCAGCTGCGAGGGGGTCGTCTCATCGGGGCAACCCCCTGTGCTGCAGGAAATCTGAAAGAGGTGATTTACCGGCAGGATTCATTCCCATCCCACTGAGCAGACAGTTCAGCTGAAAAGTATTAATCTGGGCCCTGTAAGCTTGTTAAATAATGAACTTTACCCTTAGGCTGAAAAAAAAAAAGGGGGGGGGGGGGGGAGAGGCAGTGTTGCACAAGCTTATCACTGCCCACTTGCTGCAGAACATGCCCTTGCAAGAGCTGTGTATGAAGAACTACTACTATTTATACCTGTAACGCTTCCAAGTTGCTGCAAATCTCTAGGACAAGATTAATGCATAACACTCACTCACCTGCATAAAAACACAATACCCTTATTTTCTGCCCAGCTTTTCCTCCTATGTTGGAGGACCCTCAACTTCATCCACGCCTTTATAAAATGTTTCTAAAGCTGAAGTTCTTAGAATAGGAGTAAAGAGAAATAAATATATTGTGTAAAGAGTTGACCTAAAAGGTTGTATGACCTGCACTTAGGCATCAGTTTAATATGCAGCAGTATGGCATATGTATGGAAAGTAAATAAAAAGTAAAAAAAGCATAACATCTATGAACACAAACTCAAGTGATGACACATTTTTCATTGAAGTTAAGAAAGTTCAAGCAGATGACTTTTTACTGACAATATGATCATATTTTCCTTGAAACAATTACTTACAGTTTACTTATTTAATCCTTTCACAATGACTTCAGACATTCATCGCAACACTCTCATCACAGGAACAAATATGCACAGTACTCACTCACTCAAACTGTTCCAGCAAAAGCAACAAACTCACAACTAAAGACTTCCAACATGACTAAGTCTGCTTGAATCCAGAGTCATTCTCTCTCTCTACTACTCACCAGCAGTGAGGCACAAAAACATTTTTCTGTTAACGTAACCGCTTAACACATGCTATCCCACTCACTTCCCAGTCCCTTGATGTTTCTTCCTCTGGTTTGCTGACAGTTCCCCTTTTTCCAGGGAGCACTTGCACTTCTACACAATGCACTACAGTGGCAGCTCCCAAAGACTTTGGGGTTTCTTCAAGAAACAGAGTGAGTGTCCACAACACGTGCATGGGAACATACAGCATCACTTAGGGGAATACCTTCACTGTCAGCTGTTCTGCCTCAGCACTTTAAGTGTACGAAGTGTGCATCATGTTCCACTTGGGATTCTGTCTGCCTTTTCAGCATAAGCTATTCTGAGGCTTTACCACTCCAATGCCAGTTTCACCCAGTAAATAACTGACTGACAGTCATGGGCTGGAAAGCATTGAGGTATTTTTACCCTTCACTAAGTTTAGCATTTTTTTAATAAATAGTCTAAGCAATAAAAGCGACCAGCTGAATTGATTTTATGTTCCTATTTTTAAATACTTAAGTTTGAAAAGTACTTGATAAACGTTTAAACAATACGATCACTGATAGCATACTAGCATTCAGAACACTGCAACGTAAGCACGTCTGCAATTAAAATATTTGAAGAGAGGCTACAGTATACTCAATAACCTTTTCTATGCAGAAATGACTTGAAAAGCATGAATTCTGTGAACAAGATACGGTCTACAACAGTTTGAATACCTGAAATAAGTACAGCTATTGTACACTATCAAAACTTGACTTCCCATATAGTTACAGTAAAATCTCCCAAACTTCTATTCAGTAAAACAAACAGAATAGGAAAAAAAATAATAATCAGACTATCAGCTTAACTTTTAATCCACACACTTCCCCCTGGCCCCACGCTGAAGTGAATAATGAATGAGCTGGGTCGTGATTGCTTTCAATAAGTATGTCAGAAATCTTCAAAAGAATGAGACGAGGGTAAGAGTTGTTATAAGCTCAGACATCAAAGGTCTTCCTAATAACGCCACGTGCTTATACAACCACATACTATGCATCATTTTTATGCATCAGCATACCGGGAACTGCAAAACCACAAGCACCAAAGGTACTTGAATTCTACGTTATGAAACTTCCTATGCAAGCAAAAATGAACACAGAATTGAAAGTATTTGTGACTGGAATCTGAGAATTTAAGCCCAACCTTCACCGTGCGCCTGGGCAGAATGAAAATTTTCAGACTCGAGTGTCACCTTACACCTCCTGTCAACTCTGTCACGCAGCAGCAACTCATCCAAAGTGCCCATAACTCCAAGAGACTTTTCGACAAATGGAAAGTCTCGGGTTTTGTTGTCATCGCTCCCCTACGCCTCCCTCGCCGCTTCGCTCCCGTGCACAGCTGCTCCTCCGGGCGTTTCTCAGCCCTCCCTCCGGCGCTCCCGGGCTCTGCCCGTCCCAGCCCGCTGCAGGACCCCGCAGCTTCGTCCGTACGGGAGCAGCCTGGGGTCCACCCGCGACCCGCCTGCGGGGAGCGCCCCAGCTGCCAGCGCCAGGGCCGGGATCAGCTGAAGCCGGCGGGTCGCTGCCCTGCCCCAGCCCCGCTGCAAACGGCGGGGCCGCGGCCGGGACCGATCCCCGCCGGAGCAGAGCCCACGGGCTGCCTCTGCCGATCAGGTGTTTTGCGTTTCTTCGCAAATACAGTTGCTCCCCGTGCAACCTTCCTTCCAGCACCCCGAAACCCCAGACAATTTTTTTTTCCTCCTTAAAGAAATCCTTCCCCCACTTTTAAAGAACCCCCCACTTCAAAAGGCTTCTCCCAAATATTTTCCTCGGTGGGATTTCCAAGCGGTCCGTTCAAAGTGACTCCGAGCCACATGCCTAGAGAAGTGAGCCGGCATCTGCAGCGGGGGCATGGGCTTACCTTTGCCTCCCCCGCGTCGGGCTCCTCCTCGTAGTACCCCTGGCCGGACTCGTAGGCGGCGGCGGCGGCCGGCTGCCGGGGTCCCAGGAGCACGGCGCCGGCAGCAAGGCAGCAACCCAGGGAGAGCACCTCCAGCAAGTGCATTGTGCAAAGATGGCAGGGCGGGCGCGGAGCGGGGCCGCGGGGCAGCTGGAGGAATGCAGGCGAAATTATGAGGCTCCTTCTCTTCCTCTCCCCGCTTCTTTCGCTGTCCTCTCCCCCCTCCCTCCCCTCGCAATATCCAAGGCAGTAAAATCCGTGGGATGGAGAAGATGCGGTAGCAGCAGCTCCTAGGCGCCTGCAGGGGAGTTCCCAACTTTCCCAGCCGCTCTGCGAATTCTCACCAAAGTTATCCGGAGTTTGCCCGCTGAGCTCCATCCTCGGGCGCCGGGGAAGAGCCGTGGCTCTGGCACCCAGCTGCTTCCCGGGGAGGCTGGTGCTGGGAGGGGAGCAGAGACAATGGCCAATTCCCGGAACAGTGCACCGGGCAGGCAGCGCTCCCGGCTCCGGTTTCCCTCCCGTTTCCCCTCCCGTAGTCCAGAGGCTCCTCCACTCCCTCTTGTTGTCTGCATGCGTGCGTTCGTCTGCTGCCTTTCCTGGGCTGCTCCCGGGCTGTCTGGCTTGGTTTCACAGTGCAGCACGCAGCGTGCTGGAGGGGCTCCCGCCCCTTCCCCCCCCCCCCCCGCCCCCCCCTGCCGCTGGCGCTGCGCTGGCGCCCCGGGGAGCGGATCGCCCCGGACCGCGGGCAAAGGGCCGCCCGCGCCGCGGCTGTGCCGGGAAGGGGAGGCGAGCAGGCCCGAGGCTCCCCTGCGGACCCCGGAGGGGCACAGGCGATGCGGGCAGAGCTGGGCTTGTCCCGCCCCGAGCCTTGGCTCCACGAAGATGAAGCCCGCTGTAGGTCCCAGCCCCGAGGGGAAAGCAAAGTGCCCGGCTTCTTTCTTTCGGCTCTGAAACCTGTTGGTTAAAACGCACACAGAGCCTGTCTGAAACCGTGCAAGAAAGTTTTTGTTCATCCTCATCAGTTACTTGTTAAGCAGTGTTGGCAGCTCCACTTGAGAGAGTATAGGAGGCTTGTAGCTTTTTTTGGCTGAACAGAAAAGATTTTGCCATTTTAGAAACAGAGTGCTCCAGAGAGTACCATATTTATTTGTAGCCTTCCTATCAATGACATCTTGGAGCCATCTTTGAACAGAAGTTACACCCAATTCAGAGCCCTAAATAAAACAGAGCGTAGATAGCAGCTAGTTACAGTGTAACTGTGATTAAAAGTGGAAGGAAAAAAAAAAAAAGTCAAACAGTAAATCCAAAACAGACTGCACATTGCTAACAAAATAACACTACAGCCTGCTCAAATCTCAGCTATGTGAAAGGGAAAAAGTTATATTCCCCGTACGATTATTTTTGCTCGATGTGAACAGCGTTATCGAACCTAGCGTAAATATTTAGAAAGCTTTTCAAATTGTTCTGCATCACTTTTATACATCTTTTGGTAACAAGATTGTATGGGAACGAACTGCGGGGGCAGATCCCTGACTGCCTTGGCTGCATGCTGGCAGTCTGCTCATGTTACACTGTTCTTATTCTTTGGGAATCCCATTATGTAACTATTCAGGGAACGACATTCTGGGGGTTATGCATAAAGGTGTCTCTAGCAGGTCTTTAGGTACCTTCTGTTCTTCTTGATTTATTTCTTATCAATTTCAAGGTGGTATTTCAGCTTGCTGCTACACAAATAAATTATTTTGATGCTAGGAAGTAATCACTTCATTTGCAATCAGAATGACATCTAAAGTTTAAATAGAGCTGCATTTTAAAAATTTTTATAGTTACTAGAAAGTTATTAAAGCACTAACATTTTTTTAACATCTTCACAACACAGTAAAGCAATGAAGCAAAGATGGTGGTAGAAGTTAAGCAGAACAGCTATGAAGATATAAAATAGTGTACATAAATTAAGAAGCCTATTGTTCTTCAGTGGACCCTTACAGCGCTGCAGATCAAAGCACAGGATTAAAGCCTAAAGAGAGCATAGTCCAGGACGCAAAGCCCATCTAAGTAGAAATACAGCATTACTGATTTGAGCTTAAACATGTTAAAATCTCTCAGAAACATCACAGACTGGCGTAGAAAGAAAGTTCTTGTGAAGCACATTAATAAAACCCGCCTGACAAATCATGCACAGATAATACTACTTCAATAACTGAGTGCCACGCAAGAAGGCCCGTAACTAAATCACAAAACAGGATGGAACATACTGCTCCCGCTGTGCCATCATAATATCAGCTGGCTTCATTATTTATTTCCCCAGTTCCCCAGCACTTTCATTCTGCCCCTTCCCCCCCCCATTCATAGAATATCCATCATGGGATCAAAGGCTTTTATGCAAGAGAGCATTTCCACCAACTGCTCCGTATAACAAGTTTAAAGTGTCATAATTGAAAGCTAGTAATCATAGTGCCTCAAGTCACAGTCTAATCATAAAGTTTTAAAATAAAATGGTTGAAATCTATGATACTTCATATTGTCTGTTTACAAACAAATAAATATTCCATTGGCTCTGGGACACTTTAAGATTTTCCTCAATTCAGGCTGTATTTCTTTCCATCCCATAGAAGATGGCTAATTTAAAGGTTTACTGATTTAAAAATCTAATGATTAATATTCCTCCTCTTATCTTCAAATTAAGCAGAAATTGGTCTACAGGACAATAAATTTAAAGTTTTAAGTGGCACTCAGTACACTGACAGTGAACTGACCTTATAAACACAAATTACTAGAGAGATATCCCTAACAGTATAGAGATACAGATATAGGTCTTGCCCTGTTATGTTTCAATGGCAGCAATAGCTACTATTGACAAAGGAAGTTTTTTGTGCTAGATGTAAGATTTCTTCAGGAAAATTCTCTTGACGTTGTTTTAAAATTGCATTAAAAAAATCCAGACCCCATTCTGTTTTTCAAGTTGGTGTAACATACGTCCGTCAAGAACATTCCTGTGTCTAGACATACCTGGTATGTTCCTTTCTGATATATTCTGCTTCTGAAATGTGGATGTGTTTCAATACATGTTTCCTATCTCCGTTCATTAGCAGTACGAAAAGTCAGAGGAACCACTATAAGAAATGTGAGCTGAGACTGGGGAATAGAAAAGTGTCAATAGCGGCAAGAAAAATCAGTAGCATGCTATTGTAATTTGGTCTATTTGCTTATTGTAGAGTTAAATGCTAGTGGTCAATGTTTTCTTTTCACAGAATGTAATTTCCATTCTCTGTATTTTTAAATTTTTGTGTTTGATTCAAAGAAATCTCCTTTGCATTCTCCTCTT